AGTTTTAGAAATTTTATCTTAAGATTTTATACTATAGCACATTTCTAATAGGTTTAACGAATTACATGTCATTTATTTGAATTCAAATTTATTTTAATGACTTAGTATTTACTAAAAAGATGTAATTTTTTTTTAAAAAGAAAGTTGTTATATAGATTTGATTGTTTTGAATTCTTAGAATTTTGTGCATTTGCAATGTAACTAAGTTAGTAGCGAGCGAAGCGAGCTTGGTTTGCGAAGCAAACCTTATAAGATTGCGTAGCAATTTTCGGGGGTTGGCGAGCGTTAGCGAGCAGGGTGTGCAGCCCACTATTATTATTAAACTTATATTATTATCTTACTTATTATTATATCTTTCTTATTATTATTATATCTTACTTATTATTATTATATCTTACTTATTATTATTAAACTTATACTTATTATTATTATTAAATGCATTAAATCACAAAATACATACTTATGTCTTTGTTACGAATGATTCGTTTGTATTAAATGATTCTGTTTAAAATCTGAATGTCATAATTTAAAAAAAAAATAATAATTTAAAAATTTTAATTCAATTATACTTATTATTTATTTACTTATTTATTTTGAAACTGTATATGTTCCCATTTAATAAATAAAATGCAAACAAAGCTAAAAGATGGAGCTACTCTAAAATGTGAAAACCGAAGGAAAAGAAAACTTTCAATTAGTTTAAATGATTAATTTAAAGCTGTTTTACCGGTTTCGATTCTGAGAAACACCCACTGTGAAAATGTCTTTAAAGTGTGTATCTCAGGTTCGGAAAAAAATTGAGAGTTCGAAGTGAAATACGATTTATCGATACGAGTTTCAATATGATTTTATCATTATATTTAGAAAAAACACTTTCTCTTTGCCAAAAAAAAAATAACACACTTTTCATCGCTGCGAGAAAGAAGAGAATGTTAACTTTATACAAAAAGCTTCAATTTGTGTTGGATTTTTCAACGAATAATAAAAATCCACCTTTCAAAAACAGTGTTCTTAATATTGCTTAATTTAACCGAAAAAAAACTTAAAACTTTAACTCGCCATAACTTACTTAGAAAATGTTTTAATTATTTGTCTCAACGCATGTTCAAAAAAATAATCGCAAAAATCTTGAAAGTTTAAAATCCAATCATAAAATATAATTATTTAACTTAGATAATGGTCATATACATCGAGAAATAACAATAAATCATCTGCACTTAAATCATGGTTTAATCACTTTATTAAAACAGGCATGCAGTGAGTAATTTACACAATTATTTGGCTGGCAAAATTTTTCCAGTTCCTATTTTGATGGATTTTTCTATATCGTTTCAAAGCAAAAAGTTTGTTTTACAAAAGCTTTATTCATAAAAACCCTTTGAAAATTTCAACTATCCAGTCCATTTTCTGATCATATATTTAAATACAACAAGGGAAAATATACAAGGGCAAACTAAATCGCAACACAAAGAATATTTTCCTAGTAAAAAATAAATTAATGAAAATTTTCACAATGATATGAAATAAAATCATATTCTGCTAAATATCTTTTGTACGTTTCTCTAAAACAATTTGCAATATGAAAGTTTACTGCAAAGTTATGTTCTTTACAAGTCGAAGAAAAAATATTTTGCTCTTCTTGAAAACTTCTTTTTTGAGGGCTTAGTATATTTTAATACATAACACTGCAAATAGTATCAATAAATAAAACTTTTGATGACTAAAAGTTTAAACTTGGTGTATTTTTTTTTTCAGATTCATTTCTGGCTCTACCACCTTGGAATGCAAGAAACGGTGGTTCTGTTTCCCTTGATGTCAAAACACAAACCCATACTGCCGTTTTGTTTTACAATGCTGGAGTGCCTTTAAAATCTGATTTCATTTCATTGGAGATACTAGAAGGCAAAGCTGCCATATCTGTAAATGAAGGGAATGGCGCCGTGGTCCTGAGTTCGGACATCACAATAAGTGATGGATTATGGCATCACATCGAAGTTCAATTCAGTCCATCTTACATTGAAATCGTTGTGGACGGACATGCAAAGAATCTAAGACCAGGTCTTGGTGACAATAGATTTTTTGATCTCGCTGGTTTGTTTTACATTGGAGGCATTGAACTGAACAAACAAGCACATGCTTTTCAGTTCGGACTCCAATCGATTTTGCTGGAAGGTTCTGAACTGTCTCTGAAGGGTTGCATGAAAAATATCAAAATAAATAATCAGTTGGTAGGATTTAGGGAAGCCGAGGTGACGCATGGACTTCAGCCGGACTGCTCTTGGGAATACATGTGTCTCCAAGAACCATGTGTGCCAGAAGCCGAGTGTTATCAAGATGGAGTTGATAGTTTCAGGTGTATATGTGAGCTTGATAACTGCGTTAGGACAAATTTTTCTTCTGCTTATAAACTTTATGCCAAGTCTTCCAAACCTATAGATTTAGAAATTCTCAATCTACAGCCTCTTGTGATATCCGAAGGTGGTAGCGATTTAATTACATCTAATCACATACGAGTGATATTGGACTATAGAAAATATGGGATTAGAGAATCCGGTGTTCTGTTTCACATAATCGAACCCCCTAAATATGGAAATCTAGAAATCGAAATCTATAGAGGTATTGCAGATAGCATTTTTACTCTCTCTGATTTGAATACAGATAAAGTGAGATACTCTCATGATGGTTCCGAAACAAAGACTGATTCCGTCGTATTTGATTTGGAGTTCCGAGCCGGAACGTTCAGACTTCTTTCTCACTTAGAAGAGAAACATCGTTTCGTCTTCCATTTTCAAATATTGCCGGTAAATGACCCTCCGAAACTAAATTTGTTACCGGGTAAGTCATTCAGATTAGCCAAGCATACTAAAAAAACCATCACTTCTAATTTTTTAAAGGCTGATGATCCTGATAATCAGCCAAGTGATATAGTCTATTCTGTTTTGAGCTTAGATTCTTTTGAAAATGAAGGTTATTTTGAAAATGCTAAGAATCCAGGGAAAGCTGTTAATAGTTTTACACAAGCAGATATCAATGATAATCTCATAAGTTTTGTTAATCGTGGTGCTGGTAATGTCCATGTAACTATACAAATTTCTGATGGAATCAAGTCTGACCAGACTACTTCTACATTTCAGATATCACCATTTGATCTGGAAATAACAATCAAAAATAATACCGGGATCGCTCTGCCTTATGATTCATCAGTCGTCATCACCGCAGATAATTTGACTTTTTCCGACAATGCTCCTGACCAAAACTTAGAAATACGTTGTGATATTGTCAAAGGACCTGAGCATGGAAGCCTTCAGCGATTACGCAATAATGGCCGGTGGTACCCTATAAACCATTTCACGCGAAGGCAGCTTAAAAAAGAAAAACTCAGGTACCAACACACATCTGGCAGACCCAGTAATGATGATTTTAAATTTACAATATCATCTGGTGATGTCAAATTTCCTACTGTACACAACTTCCGCATCACATTTATTACAATAAACCTAAAACAGGTACATATTTCAGAATTATTTTTAAATAAGAAGCAAGAAGGCTTCATCACTCAATCTGAAATAAAATTTGAAACATATCCTGTTTCAACATCGACTGATTATATAATATACGTAGTACAAACACTTCCGAAATATGGAAATTTAATTTTATTTCATTCTGGACTATCAGAACTGAGACACAAGAAGTTAGAATTATCTTCAACGTTTACCCAAACTGATATTGATCACAAGAAACTTAAGTATAAATTGCACAGGAAAACATTTTCCATTGTTGAAGATAAGTTTAGCTTTAAAGTATCGTGTTCTGGTGGACTTATGTCCAACGCGATGGACTTCAAGATAAAACATGACCCAGGTGAGATTGATGCCATTATCATAAACGAAAAAGTGACTGTTTTGGAAGGGGGGACGTCAGATATAGGGCCGAGTGAATTGCACATCGAAATACCATCGAAATCAGAAATAATTTATAATATTACAACTTCGCCAAAATATGGTGTTCTTAAAAAGTTAAGGGTAGACCATGCTGAAGTCGAAGAAGATTACGTAAGTTTAGTTACATCAACTGAAATATCTCAAAATAGATTAATTTATAACCATGGTGACTCTGAAAACGAAAGAGATTTGTTCCATTTCATTGCAACAGCAGCAAACGCGAGTGATAACAATTTCATATATTACGGCACTGTTCACATCCATGTCATCATGAAAAATGACAATCCACCAATAAGAGTAGTAGATAAAGTGTTTAATGTAGTCATGGATGGCGAACGAAAACTTACGGGCATGGATCTGAAATACATAGACCCTGATATTGATTCATCTCCTTCTGATATCATCTATACTCGACGCGGCATTCCCAATGGAGCACTATTTCACGTCGATGACATGTCTACACAAGTTTATCAATTCACTCAAGTAGATTTAGATGGTGGAAAAATAATCTTTCGCCACAGTGGTTCTCACTATGGTAAATCTGTTCTACGCATTACTGACGGAAAATTTTATGCGACTGGCGTTCTCGAAATTCAAGCTTCAAGACCTTACTTAAAAATTACGCGAAACACTGGCTTAATCGTAAAAAGAGGCGAAAGTAGTTTGATTTCTGCTTCGAATTTAACTGTTGAAACAAATCTGGATGCCAACTCGGATGATATTACTTACAAAATTATTTCGCCTCCAAAACACGGTGAAATAGTTTTGAATGGTAAGGTTATTCAAGAATTCACGCAAAGAGATTTACAGCTGGAAAATGTTGAGTACGAAAATGACAACAGCGTGAGTTTTCAAGACTCGTTCAGCTTTTCTGCCTTTCTGGGAGACATTACAATTGACGGTAAATTCGAATTTCGTATCTATCCTGAAGTCTACTGGGAACCCTTAACAGTTGTCAGCAATAAAACCTTATACGTAGACGAGGGCCATCTTGTCACCATAGACTCGTCAGCTTTGAATATCACACAGCCCAACATCAATACGCACAATATTACCTACGTTGTTCGCACGCCACCGAAATTTGGTTTCTTGGTGTTAGGAGATGAGAGGGAATTCGAGGACCGCAAATCGGTTTTCAAAACAACACCAGCCAAACTGTTCACACAAACTTCGATCAATGAACGTCAGCTGCACTATTTTCACACAGAACACAACGCCTCTAAGGATCATTTTATATTTGACGTCACCAATGGTATCACTGCACTCAGAGACATGAAATTCAGCTTTAAAATTATTTCTAAGATCATTTTTTTGAGAACAAGGAATATCACGGTAGTAGAAGGCAGTGAAGTCCCTCTAAAAAGTAACGACATTCAAGTCACCAACCCTTACTACGAAGACTGGATCACGGAGTATCTGGTGATTGAAAGACCACAGCATGGATACATATCCTCTTCTAAGAACGCCAGGTCAAAAGTGTCCAGGTTTTCTGTCCAAGATCTTAAGAGCGGGTTCATCCATTACACTCATGACGGCTCGGAAACTTCACGAGATTGGTTTACTCTCGTTGCAAATGCCACAGTCTTGAACAAAGAGAGTTCGCCAAGCACGGTTCATGTTTTTGTGGAACCTGTCAACGATGAAACGCCGCACATGGTGAACAACACCGGATTAGATGTGTGGGAAGGGGATATCACTGTTATAACGAACCGCCACCTCGCTGCTACTGATGAGGACTCTGATCCGACGGAAATCACGTTTGTGATATCATCTCCGAGCAATGGATACGTGGCCTTAAAAAATGACACCAGGACGTCTATTTTAAGCTTTACTCAAGATCTGATTGATCGTGGAATGATTACTTTTGTCCATACAGGTAAATGTTTTTCGTCTCTTTTACAATGTAAAAAGAAGAGTTTTTCATTATTGTTTTGTTTATCATGTTTTTTATGATACATTATAAAATTTAAGTATTAATAAAATGATATTTTAAAGTCTATTTTATAATACTTTTTCCAAGTATTCGATAGCAGTACTGTGTGAATTTCAATGATAACCGCAACTCAAAATTTTAACTAAGTAAATTATGGGATAGAGCTAGAGGAATATTAATACTGTTATTCTGGAAAACCAAGGCCCAAAAAGCCATCTATGTTTAGCAGAAACTTGTTGCGTAGCTATGGATTTTTTTTTAGCAATTCTAAGATATTTTTTATTTGCGTTTTAAAATTTCAAAACTGGAATTACTAAAAAATGAGATTAACAAATTTTCGTTCAAATTAAATTTTTCAGCATTTTTTTAAAAAAAAAAGAAAAAAATTGAAAGGTAGTAACGAAAATATTTCTTTCGTTGTAGTTGACAAAATCTACTAGAGATAGTGACAAGTTCGGTTATAGTTAAGTTAAACAGAATTAAGAAGATGATTAACTCCAAAATATGTTTAATAAGTTAGTATCTGAAATGAATCCATCAGTACTATTCAAACGTACATTATTACATTATAAAGTTATTCATTATTACATTATAAAGTTATATTAAAGTTATGAGAATATTTATCTTGTAATATCTTGACCGGGTAAACGATTCAAGTATAATAATCCTCTTGTTCCTTCCTTCCTCATGTTTAATGTTTTCGTTAAGCATGCACTTAAACTACACAATTAATCTTGAACTGCAAATTAAAGCAACAAAAAAAACGTGAATTTCAATTGACTAATTAAAACACTTCTAATAGAAAAGTATTTTTTTACTTCTATTTATAATATATTCTTACTTTTTTTCTGTCGTATTTAATATAGCCAACAATTTGTTATGTTTTTGTAAATTTTAATTTGTGAGGAAGCGCAGTTCTTTCTTAAAAATTAATAAATGCTGTTAAAGATTGATACACACGTACTGAATGTTACAAAATTAATATTCACAACAAGTGGTCGGAAGGAGCAGCCAACTTTAAGTAGTGAAACTACTGTAGTCGTTGCATTATTTTGTAGTGAAGTGTGCTGTTTTTTTTTTTTAAATGTAGCGTAGTGAGTTGTGCGATGTAAAAAAAACAATAGTTTGTAGAAATTCCTAGCAATTACTTTTTACGTTACATTCTAACATTTGTAATTGCAATCAGAATTAAACCTATCAACACAGATAATTTTACCAATGTGTAATTATTATTTAGACAGGAAATAATTTTTTTTAAAATGGAATATGAGAATCAAGGCAGTGTTTTTAAAAGATGACGGCTTATTTTAACAAAAATTGCAAAGAGGGTGCATTTAAAGGGATCAAAGGACAGGAGGAGAGCCGCCTTTCTGAAAACGCTTAGGGAGAACACTGTTCTACATTATAGATATTTATAAATTATACTTATTTATAAATCATGTATACATATGCATTTTTCGTAAAAATATTGGAAAGATGTTTGCGATAGAGTGTAGGGGAGAGTGGGGTCAATTGTAACAGGGTACGATTGTAACAGAGCAAAAATTTCAAGTGTCGGGTTCTAGATTTGGTTCCTAGGTGGCGCACAAGGTGTATTTAATAAATCTACATGTACACCCCTGATTACAATCATTTTTATGTACTTTTGAAAGAGTTAGATCACAAAGGATATTTTCACGCCACGNCGGCTCGGAAACTTCACGAGATTGGTTTACTCTCGTTGCAAATGCCACAGTCTTGAACAAAGAGAGTTCGCCAAGCACGGTTCATGTTTTTGTGGAACCTGTCAACGATGAAACGCCGCACATGGTGAACAACACCGGATTAGATGTGTGGGAAGGGGATATCACTGTTATAACGAACCGCCATCTTGCTGCTACTGATGAGGACTCTGATCCGACGGAAATCACGTTTGTGATATCATCTCCGAGCAATGGATACGTGGCCTTAAAAAATGACACCAGGACTTCTATTTTAAGCTTTACTCAAGATCTGATTGATCGTGGAATGATCACTTTTGTCCATACAGGTAAATGTTTTTCGTCTCTTTTACAATGTGAAAAGAAGAGTTTTTCATTATTGTTTTGTTTATCATGTTTTTTTTATGATGCATTATAATTTTATAAAACTTAGTTTAAATATTAATTAAATGATATTTTGAAGTCTATTTTAGAATACTTTTTCCAAATATTCGATAACAGTACTGTATGAATTTCAATGATTACCGCAACTCAAAATTTTAACTCATTAAATTATGGGATGGAGCTAGAGGAATATTTATTTATACAGAAAAACTGGTGTAAGTTGACCACTTGTGGTGCATTGTTTTAGTGGTCAACATGGTTTACAGTGGGGTTGGAACATAGTTTACTTTTTCGTTTCCTTTACGAAAACATGTAATTTGAAAACTTTAACAAAACAAAATTATTAGAAAATTATTGAAAAATTATTCAAAATTATAAAAGATCAAAGCATATTTCAGAGCATTCATTTATTCAAATGCTCATTATTGCAACTGGAAGAGCTACTTTTCAACTAACACACCTGTTTTCAATGAATGAATGAAAGAAATGGTCAAAAGTTGACCCCCTACAGTTTCCCCAGATTTTCAACTCACAAAAGGGTTTAGATTAGCTTTTTACACTATTTCACCAAACAAGTGAAATTTTAACATACATTGCAAAATGACAGAAAATTTTCTGAATTTCTTTTTTCTGGTCAACTTATGATTGTTTTAGAATTGAATTTCATAATACTCCTTGACAAAATTGACTTATTTCAGTGGTCAACATACAAGATAGACAGGTGGTCAAGTTACAAAGGCTTTGCTTCTTTATATTATTTACGAAAAATTCCGTTCTTGATAATTGAGGTCAACTTATGCAGGTGTCCAACTTACAAGGGTGGTCAACTTGACAGGCTTAACTGTACTGTTATTCTGGAAAACCATGGCCCAAAAAGCCATCTATGTTTAGCAGAAACCTGTTGAGTAACTATGAATTTTTTTAGCAATTCTAAGATATCCTTTACTTGCGTTTTAAAATTTCAAAACTGGAATTACTAAAAAATGAGATTAACAAATTTTCGTTCGAATTAAATTTTTCCAGCATTTAAAAAAAAACATTGAATGGTAGTAGAGAAAATATTTTGTCGTTGTAGTTGGCAAAGTCTACTAGAGTTATTCACAAGTTCGTGTAAAAATAAGTTAAACAGAATTAAGAAGATGATTAACTCCAAAATATGTCTAATAAGTTAGTATCTGAAATCAATCCATCAGTACTATTCGAACGTACATTATTACCTGAATATTAAAATTATGAGAATATTTATCTTGTAATACCTTGACCGGGTAAACGATTCAAGTATAATAATCCTCTTGTTCCTTCCATCCTCATGTTTAATGTTTTCGTTAAGCATGCACTTAAACTACACAATTAATCTTTAACTGCAAATTAAAGCAACAAAGAAAAATGTGAATTAAAATTGACTAATTAAAACACTTCTAAAAGAAAAGTATTTTTTTACTACTATTTATAATATATTCTTACTTTTTTTCTGTCGTATTTAATATAACCAACAATTTGTTATGTTTTTGTAAATTTTAATTTGTAAGGAAGCGTAATTCTTTCTTAAAAAATAATAAATGCTGTTAAAGATTTATACACGCGTACTGAATGTTACAAAATTAATATTCACTACCAGTGATCGGAAGGAGCAGCCCACTTTAAGCAGTGAAACTACTGAAGTCGCTACATTACTTTGTAGTGAAGTGTGCTACTTTTCTAAAAATGTAGTGTAGTGAGTTGTGCGATGTAAAAAAGAAAACAGTAGTTTGTAGAAATTTCTGGTAACTACCTTTTACGTTACATTATAACATTTGTAATTGTAATCAGAATTAAGCCTATAAACGCAGATAATTTTACCAATGTGTAGTTATTATTTGAACAGGAAATAATTTTTTTTTAAATGAAATATGAGAATCAAGGCAGTGTTTTTTAAAGATGATGGCTTATTTTAACAAAAATTGCAAAGAGGGTGCATTTAAAGGGATCAAAGGACAGGTCTGAAAACGCTTAGGGAGAACACTGTTCTACATTATAGATATTTATAAATTATACATATTTATTATTATACATATGCATTTTTCGTAAAAATACTGGAAAGATGTTTGCGATAGAGTGTACCTTTTGTAAATTATGATAATAATTCCATCTACCTTTATTACTAAAGTAATAACTATTAGTATAGAAAGAAATTTTTAGAACTTTAAGATTCAAATTCAATGTTACTTTTTTAAAGTTTTAGGACGATAATTTACCTATTAAAAAAATAATTAAACAGAAACAATTATTGATTAAATAATTAAATAAAAACAATGTTCACACTTTTTTCCAATGAAAAAACTTTTTTTAATTGAAACGATTTGTAATAGTGACACTTTATTTTTTTTTCATTAAAATCATTTTACTTGTCATATTTTTATATGTTTATTACGATTAGTAGGATAGTATGCTTATTATTACCCAAAGTGTAGTTTAAATTTTTGTTATGGTTAATGTATTATTTTTGCAAACATTCTTTTGAGCTTAAAATTTTTCAACTGTGATACGATTTCGGACAGCTTACCTATTTTCTAAAATTGTTTTTTCTTTGTATTTAGGCGATAAGGCCGGAGGATTCAAACTACAAGTGAATGACGGCGTTAACTTTGACTCTCCTCATGTATTTACAATAACAGCTCGCGTGCTTCAAATCATAATGGCAACAAACGAAAAACTAGGCATACTGCCGCGAATGCAACAGTCAATCACGAAAGATCATCTGTTTGTCACCACAAATGATCACGATTTAACGAGAGTTATTGCCTTCAAAGTAACAGGAGGACCAGACCTGGGAAGGCTATTGGTTGAAAATCCAGATGGTTCCCTAAGTCAAATTACTGAATTCACCCAAGAACAGATTAACAAGAACCTCGTATTGTACGAACACAATAAGCAAATGATTGGTTTGAAAGCCACAGATAAATTCATTTTTAACATCGAAACGCAAAATGCTCAAACAATGAAAGACGTTGAATTTAACGTTGAGATATCTGTTGGAAATTTTGGATCTGGAAGCCTCGATCAGTTGGTAGTACTTCATACTCTAGAAGTGAAAGAAGGTGGCATGGCTGTCATTGGACAAGAACACGTTGATATGTCGAGACTTTTTAGTTTGTGGCAAGGAAAAGGGAAAAGCGAATTCGCTAAGAAATTGAAGATTATAGTTCATACCCCTCCAATCAATGGCTGGTTAGAAACTGAAGAAGGTAACTCCAGTTTTGTGAGTAAACTCTCTTTTAATAGAGAAGATATTAGAAAAAAGAGAGTTCGCTATCATCACGATGATTCTGATACATTTAATGACGGTTTCAACATTGGATTTTACCTTTTAGATGACAAGGGACAACCAGACATTCTTCTTTTCAATGGTACTTTAAATATTACAGTATATCCCATTAACGACAACGCTTTTGTTTTATTAACTCCAACAGCCAGAGTTGAAATAGTACAAGGACAGTCAGTTGCATTGACATCTAGCATTTTTAATGTTTCGGACGCTGATGGTGTCCCCAAAGACATCACCTATGAAGTTCTCAAATCTCCTGCATCTGGCAAACTTATAATGGGCAATATTTCAGTCAATAACTTCACTCAAGAAGAAATAAACAATAATATGATATTGTACGTGCATGACGGTACCAAAGAAAACAGAAGCGAATTTCATTTTAAAGTTAGTGACGGAAAACTCAAGCAAGAATATGCGGTATTGGATATCACCATAGTTCCTATAAAATTGCATTTAGTAAATACAAGTGCCATTGAAATTCAACAAGGTTCTATAGCTGTTTTTCTCGGCAATGAGAACGTAGGTGCTGTTACCAACGCAAACAACGAAGAAATATGGTACAACATAACTACCTTGCCTTCGCATGGTCACATTTTCGTTAACGATGACAGTTTAAGGTTCTTCCGACAGACAGACATCGACAACAATTTGGTATTTTATATGCAGTCTGATATCACAGCATCCGAAGATTATTTTATAGTGACCATTCAAAGTGGAACGAATGTTATTCGAGATAAAATTGTCAACATAACCGTTATTCCCCAAATCGAGCAGAAAAGCTTTTCTGTTAGTGCTTCAGGCGTTACGTGGATTACTTTGGATTTCTTAAATGCTACTAAACTGGCTCAGCAATCAAAAAGCAATCCTAAATATGTTATTTTTAAACTGCCAAAATACGGGGTGTTGAAAAAATCGAATAGTAAGAAAACGAAACGTGCTATAGCGAAGAGCTTTGATTTCACTCACGAGGATTTGGTTAAGAAAAAAATATCTTACATTGGAAAGGACATGGAATTAAAAAATGCAGTAACTGATAGTTTCGAATATGTTTTAACCGCTGCTCGTGTTCAACCTGCGAAGGGTAAGTTTGTTTTTACTGTTCAACCATCCCAAGCCCAAATATCTACCCATGCATACTCTATCAATTTCTTTTCTTCATCCTTGGCACCTTTGTCACGTTACGTTACGACTATCTCCCCTAATTTAACAACTGGAATATCAGAAACATCAAGCGGCGGTGTTTATCAACCAAGTATCAGCAATGACCATCTATTGGTAGCGGGTATTGTATTGGGCTTAGTCATTGTCATCCTTGTAATAATCATCATCGTCAAGTGTCGAACTGTCAGACGAGAGAAGGCAAAAGAAAGAGCAGGAGGACAACCTTGCTTTGGTCATAGACATGGTAAAAACAAAACAGTGGTAGGATCCCAGACCGCTCAGTCAAACCTTGACTTGTCGGATCATAATGCTTCCAATAACAGTTTGTCTCTATCAGACGATATTCCCCCTCCACCACCTCCACCAACTTCCCCTTCAAGCAGAAGCAGCCCTATAGGTTGCATAGGGGGTAGCTCTGGTGTAAAAAATAGATCCTTGCGAAAGAGAGGTAAGTGTTTGGACATAGAACCCTCGTTACCACCACCGCCATATATTCTGGAGAACGGGGAATGGACAGAAATATCTGTTCCCGTTCCGACCTGTAAAGTAACCCCTCTTTCGCACAGTGATCGAGATGATCTAAATGAAACAACCCTAAAAGGACCTTATCTTTTAAGTGATCCCAGTGAGGAAGAAGACTGGAGCAACTATGAAGGTTCTGAGCTGAGATTCGGCCCTCCCTGTAATCCTGTTCTAAGGAAGAACCAGTATTGGGTATGACGCACAATCAAATTAGAAACTCAATTATAAATTGTTTTCTAATTGAAATATTATATTTCTTACTCAAGAAAGAAACTATATTGAAATTTTCACTAAGTGGCCAAACTGAATTCACAAGGTACAAGAAATTACAAAATTGTTTACTATCCACACTGATTTCTGGTAAAATTACCACACTATAGGGCACTGATATTTCTAGTAATATATGCTTTAATGGTATATGATAATATGGTGTTTTAATCATTCATTTGGTAATTTTTCCGTTCATATGGTAACGGTTTACAAGAAATTCTGGTTTTCAAAATTATAGTTCCTATTACCAGATATTTAGTGAAAAATACAAAACTGAAAAGTAAAGTTAACCGAATAAATGGTTTGTAAGCCATACTCTAAGGCAGCAGTTCCTAAATAGTGCTCCGTGGATTCCTAGGATTTCGTGCAAAAGTTCAGTAAGACTATTTTTAAACAGTTTTGAAACCTGAAATTTTATTTAGATCCGATAAATAATTATTTACTTATATTTCGGTTGCTTTTAGAAAATTATTGAAGTAATATACCAATAACAAAAAAATGACAAATTTTTGAAATACGTATATATTTTAATTATAGTTTATTGAATAAATTATGAAGAGCACATGCATTTATGAAAAAATGCATCGAATTTTCTTTCATTCTTTCCAAATCAATACAAAGTAACTAAAATCGTTAAAAAAAAATATGGTTTCCTAATGACCATTTCTAACGAATATTTCTGCCACNTTACCGTACTATAAGGTACTGACATTTCTGGGTCATAAAAAGCAAAATATATGGTGTTTTAATTATTCATTTGGTAATTTTTCCGTTCATATGGTAATGGTTTACAAGAAATTCTGGTTTTCAAAATTATAGTTCCTATTACCACATATTTAATAAAAAATGCAAAACTGAAAAGTAAATTTAACCGAATAAATGGTTTGTAGGCCGTACTCTTAAGGCAGCGGTTCCTAAATTGCGCTCCGTGGATTCCTCCGTGGATTACCACATATTTAATAAAAAATGCAAAACTGAAAAGTAAATTTAACCGAATAAATGGTTTGTAGGCCGTACTCTTAAGGCAACGGTTCCTAAATTGCGCTCCGTGGATTCCTAAGATTTCATGAAAAAGTTTAGAAATTCCGAGAGTTAAAACTATTTTTAAATCGTTTTTTTTTAAAATTTTTTTAGCAGTTTTGAAACCTGAAATTGTATTTAGATCCGATAAATAATTATTTACTTTTTGATTGCTTTTACAAAATTATTAAAGTAATATACCAATAACAAAGAAATTACAAGTTTTTTTAAATATATACATATATATTTTAATAACGGTTTATTGAACAAATTATGAAGAGCACATGCATTTATGAAAAAATACAATGGAATTTTCAGACATTCTTTTGAAATCAATACAAAGTAACTAAATTAGTTAAAAAAATATTATTTCCTAATGACCATTTCTGACGTATAAATGTATATTACTGCTAAAGTGTATAATACAATTATTTCATAGAATAACTAGGTATTTCATAAAATAACTAGACAAGTCAGTTGAACTACATAATAGATGGAAAATTTCATACTTAACCTAGTTATTCCATGAAATAACTAATGATAGGTCGTTAAAGTGAAAAATAAACAATTTCAAGGTTATTTTATAAATTAATTGTTCATAAATTGCTAAAATCTCTCAAAAAATATACTTTATCACTTTCGCGGATGATTAATTGAGAAAAAAGTAAGGAAAAAATATTATATAATTTAACATAAATACATAATTTATGTACTTTAACTGACTTGTCTAGTTATTTCATGGAAATACCTAGTTATTCTACGAATTAACGGATTTTACACTTCAACAAATAATACATACACCAAAAACAAATTAATTACCAGGCTAGATTCAGTTTCAGGTATGCGAATTTGACTGTCGGACTTAGAACAAAATTTAAGATTTTTAATGATAAAACGATGAAAAATATTAATCCCTTAAATATTTTCGAAATAAAGTAGTCTTTGATTGGTCAATACATTCACAATTGTCTTTATTTATTTTGTTTATAAAGTCACGGTTACGTTGAAAGAGAGTCGATCATTTAGAGTTACATAGCAGAAACAAACTGGGAACCGCTACTTTAAGGTATCGTGGTAAAATTATCAATGATTACCGAATTTTATCACAGATAACAAAACCATGTTTTACTGTTAATATTACAAAAATTATTACCAAAGCTCTTCGGTAAAAAAAATTACCGAGCTTTTTGATGTTCCTATAGTACCAGAAACACGGTAAATTTTACTACATTCTGGTAGTTTTGGCCATACTTTTCTTTCTCAGTGCTGGTACGAAATGAAAACGTGTTTTTATTTTCTTGTAAGGCAATTGTTATGATCAATTCTTGTCTCATGGTATTCAATTTTTTGTACTTGAAGAAACAATAGTAATCATAAGATACGAATTAAAATCATTTTTATAAACTTGATTTGCAATAACATCTAAAAAATTTAGATTTCAAAATTCTGATGGTAGTGTGTGACTTAGCTGCAAACATACACCGAAGAGCCATGACATTATGACCACCTTGCTAATAACATGTAGCACCACCTTTAGCCCTCAAAACTGCTAGCACCCGCCGGGGCCATTGATTCCAGAAGGTGCTGATAGGTAGTCTGATGTATCTGGTACCAAGCGCGCACCAACTGGTCCTGCAATTCCCTCGCATTGCGAGGGGGTAGCGTGGCAGCACGAATTTGGTTTTTCAAGTAGGACCACAAATGCTCTATTGGATTAAGGTCAGATGAATTTGGGGACCAAGATATGACATGAAAGTCACTGGAATGTTCCTCGAACCAATTCATGACGATTCGACTCTTATGACATGGTGCATTATCCTGTTGTTAAACACCATCCCCCGCAGGAAAAACTGTTGCCATGAATGGGTGAACTTAGTCTGAGACTTTGTTCAAGCAGCTTACAGACGTCAGGGATTTTTCTAAGAGGATTATGGGTCCTTATGTGCCCCATGAAAACATTGTTCCTGGGCGAGAAACCAGTTATAGATGGAGAATGGTCATAATGTAATGGCTCTTCGGTGTATATGAAACAGAACAAACAAGATGTATTCAAACTACGAAACTTAGTGATCTAATTTATTGTAAGTGTGTTATTGCACGTCTTAATGAGAAACATTTTTATTTACCTTTAAACTTATAAAAGCATTTAAACGAATGTATGAAGTCTAGAATTTGATTTGATAATTTTACCAAAATCATTATCAAAGCGCTTCAGTGAAATATTTAAAGAGCTTTTTAGTGTTCCCATATAGCCAGAAACACTGTACCATATTCTAGCAGTTTTGACCATACTCTTTCACAGTGTATAGTAACTCATGTTTAACGCTTTTCACCTTCACCAGTGTTAATTCCATCGCATATGGGAGTAACAAATTTCTCAGTAACGAATTAATCATTAGTATGATAATTATTTTATTCTTCATTATCTTGTAATAGGCTCACTCGATTAATAAGTATTATTCAATTATAGGTACTCCTGTATTATGCATACTTCATTATCTTAAATACTACATTTAATTTTGCATAATTGAAAGACATTATTTAACTGAAGCCAAAATCATGATTTTTGTCAGTTAATTAAAAACAAAAGTATCAAAATCGATTCACAAGTTTTCTTGACATTTGTATTCAAAATTACCATCTTCATATAAATAAAGTTATCATGAGCAAAAACAAACAAAATGATTAGTAGCAAGTCCCATTAACAAATTTAATTTTTGTGCAATTATTTTTTGGATTGCAGTGTAATTTCTGTGTGTATTGTTCATAAAGCCAGTTTTATCTTAAATGTTTATAAGTCTTCCAATTGTACCTTGTGAATAATTCATTGCATTGTCTATAGAACCATTATCATCTAAATCTATGTCTTTTTATACATTCAAAAGTTGAGATGGTGTGATAAAACATGTATATAAAATATGCTGGTCATATAAATATGTTGTTGACTTTAATGATTTATAGTATATTAGTAATATTTTATCATCTTCCATCATCATAAGCGTATATTTGTTTTAGAAATATTTTCTCTTTGTCTCTTATACGATGCTTACAAGTATACTTGAAATTATTTGAAAAAACTTACTATGACATTGTTTTTGTCTTTCTTGTATTTCCTTATGTTTCTTCACAAATTACGTGAAAATTACAATAGTATATACATTACACGCACTAACTTATGAGGACTAACCTACTTAGCCTTATATGATGTATGTTTCTTTTTCTGAGATGAAAAATTTAGAAAACTTAAAATTAAAAAAAATGGATAGCTCCAAAAAATTAAAAATAAAAGCCCTATTTCGTAAACTAGAGATTTTTTTTTTCAAGTGAGGAAACCATGCTGATCTATGCTAACAATTTGATTATTTGTTACAGCATTTTTTGGTAGATTATAGTCTTAAAAATATTATTTTAAAATGTTTTTTGAGCAATTTGTACTTGTGTGTGGTTTAAAGCAAAAAAAAATGTAGACTTGTACTTGGCACAAAAATAAAAACAACTCTCTAATAACTTTTAATTGGATTTTCACGTATTAATATGCAGTCTTAAAGGTTTGAAGGGCTTATCTTAATTATGCTTAACAATGCTTAGATTCAAAAAATGAACTTTCTCTTTTTCTTACTTCACCCTATCTCGGAAAGTTTTTAAACGAATGTAAAAATTTTTACATACAATTGTAAAATTCGTCTTTCCAAAAGAAACTAAGTAAAAAAAAAATTTTTTTTATTATTGTTAAAAAAATTAAAATTTTATTTATAAGAGATAATATATGTGATTTTAAACTACAAACTGTGCGATTTTAAATTACAAACTAGAAAATTTGAGCGAAATCGGTTAAGTAGTTCTCGAGAAATTAAAGTTTAAAGATTGGTTTAAATTTCGGATTTTGTCATTTAAAATACATAGCTTAAAATGGTGTAAAAACGTGTTTACCTTACAGTTCAAAGAAATATTCGACCGTTATAAAATAAAAGTAAATATTTATAAAAAAAATTATTTTTTTACGTGGAATTTTATTTTTCAGAAAATTGTTTTCGCTGAAATGAATAGGATCATACCAAACCCAATTTTCATGGATTTTAAATTAATTTATATGACGAACAAAAAGCTACATCCAAATTCATTTAAAGTTGTACTATAAACATGCAGTTTACTTAAAAATATCCAGAACATCAATTATATATTTTTTATTATATATAGTTTTCGAATTTTACTGAAGATAGTTCTTTATTTCTTTAATAAAGAAGAGCTTCTTTAAAAGAGAAATAAAGAACAATTTTCGCTTAATGAATTCTAAAATTCTTTTACACTACTTTTTTCAATGTTAACATTTTTCGGTGATTATTTTTAACAAAAAAAT